TATGTAAAAAAGCAAATCAGAGTTATGGGACTTGTGCTAATCATCTTATAAAATCACAGAGAACAAGTGTGTGAAGTTTCAATCAATTCCCTTCGGTAGTTATGGAGATACCAGCTTACATACAAAAACTTAACCAAGAATTTCTAAGTCAAAAAGGGGCATAATTATGAAAAAAAGCAAACCAGAGTTATGGGACTTGTGCCAATCATCTTAGATAATCACAGAGAACAAGTGTGCGAAGTTTCAATCCATTCCCTTCAGTAGTTAAGGAGATACCAGCTTACATACAAAAACTTAACCAAGAATTTCTAAGTCGAAAAAGGGGCATAATTATGAAAAAAAGCAAATCAGAGTTATGGGACTTGTGCCAATCATCTTAGATAATCACAGAGAACAAGTGTGTGAAGTTTCAATCCATTCCCTTCAGTAGTTAAGGAGATACCAGCTTACATACAAAAACTTAACCAAGAATTTCTAAGTCAAAAAAGGGGCATAATTATGAAAATAAGCAAATCAGAGTTATGGGACTTGTGCCAATCATCTTAGATAATCACAGAGAACAAGTGTGTGAAGTTTCAATCCATTCCCTTCAGTAGTTAAGGAGATACCAGCTTACATACAAAAACTTAACCAAGAATTTCTAAGTCAAAAAAGGGGCATAATTATGAAAATAAGCAAATCAGAGTTATGGGACTTGTGCCAATCATCTTAGATAATCACAGAGAACAAGTGTGTGAAGTTTCAATCCATTCCCTTCAGTAGTTATAGAGATACCAGCTTACATACAAAAACTTAACCACAGGGACGCCGACGCCGACAAATGGGTGACTGCATTAGCTCGATTATTCTGCGAATAGTCGAGCTAAAAATAGTATTTTTAAGGAAAATTCTTCAAGTTCAAGGGGATATAAATCTGAGTTATGAACCTTGTCACATGAGATGTGGTTGATGATAAGGAACATATAATTTAAGTATGAGGTTGATCCCTTAAGTAATAAAGAAGTTACAGTTAAAAATCCTATCACATTGGTTGATGATAAAAAATATATATTTGAAGTTTGAAGTTGATACCTTAAGAAATGAAAAAGTTATAATGAACTAGAAATGTGTCATCATGCCACGGATGCCCCCGCATGCAGCCAAAATTTCAGATGTTATTATATTTAGTTCCAAATTTGTTTGCACAAATTATTGTTTTCATTTTAAGTTCAAAGCCCTTAAAACTTTTCAATGTTAACACAAACCATTTTCATACAATGTTCAAAGCACTGAAATTATTCAGTCTTAACCTTTTGAAAATAGCATATTTCATATTTGTAGCCAAAATAATGGCTACATACATTTCCACAAAAGTATGAGTGCTGAATCTGAATGTTCAAAATTTTTTCCAATATTCAAGAAAGATAAGTTTGTCCAAAATCATTGAACCACGACCAAATTCAAACTTAAACTGCCTATTCCTTAGATGTATCTATATTATTTTCAAAGTGAAAGGGACATAACTCTGCCAAAAAATCATCGAACCATGACCAAATTCCAACTTGACCTGCCCATTCATTTGACATATCCATATTTCAAATTTGAGTTGAATATGTAACACTGTTGGGTAGATAATGAACAGAAACTGTAAATTTCATATTTTTTTCAAAGTGAAAAGGGCATTACTCTGCCAAAAATTATTGAACCATCACCAAATTCGAACTTGACCTTGGCATTCCAAAAAATATCCATATGTCAAATTTGAGTTGAATGTGTTGTACTGTTGGGGAGATAATAAACAGAAACTGAAAATTTCATATTATTTTCAAAGTAAAAGGAGCATAACTCTGCCAAAATCATCGAACCATGACCAAATTCAAACTTGACCTGTATTTTCTCATGACATATCCATATGTCAAATTTGAGTTGAATGTGTTGTACCGTTGGGGAGATAATGAACAGAAACTGAAAATTTTCATATTATTTTCAAAGTAAAAGGGGCATAACTCTGCCAAAAATCATCGAATCATGACCAAATTCGAACTTGACCTGTATTTTCTCATGACATATCCATATGTCAAATTTGAGTTGAATGTGTTGTACGGTTGGGGAGATAATGAACGGAAACTGAAAATTTCATATTATTTTCAAAGTAAAAGGGGCATAACTCTGCCAAAAATCGTTGAACCATGACCAAATTCGAACTTGACCTGTATTTTCTCATGACATATCCATATGTCAAATTTGAGTTGAATGTGTTGTACTGTTGGGGAGATAATGAACGGAAACTGAAAATTTCATATTACTTTCAAAGTAAAAGGGGCATAACTCTGCCAAAAATCATCGAACCATGACCAAATTCGAACTTGACCTGTATTTTCTCATGACATATCCATATGTCAAATTTGAGTTGAATGTGTTGTACCGTTGGGGAGATAATGAACGGAAACTGAAAATTTCATATTATTTTCAAAGTAAAAGGGGCATAACTCTGCCAAAAATCATCGAACCATGACCAAATTCGAACTTGACCTGTATTTTCTCATGACATATCCATATGTCAAATTTGAGTTGAATATGTGCAACGGTTACTAAGATAATGAACGGAAACTGATGATGACGGAATGACAGAATGACGGAAGGACGGAATGACGGAAGGACGGAATGACGGAACAGGGTAACACTATATGCCCCGGCCATTACATGGCGGGGGCATAAAAATATTTTACTGCACCAAACTTTTAATCTGAAATCTGGCCGATGCAGGGGCGAGTTAAGGACAGCTCTCCATATACTTTGTAACTATTTACGTAGTTAAGGACGGAATATCTGAATTAAAGGACAACCTTTCCTTGTAAATATGAGACAGTCATTGGTAAATAAATACAAAGGCTGTATAAACTAGAAATGTGTCCATAGGACACGGATGCCGCTACACGCCACTGTTCTGTCAATCTTATGACTCTAGGTCAAATATTTTTTGGACTACATGTGCCACAAGTTGAAAACTAAAAATTAACAAAGGGCCATAATTCTGTTAAACTTGGTCACAGAAAAAATTCCTTCCTTTACTACCATCTACACATTAAGGTTCTTCATCCCTGGAAGTTTAAGCAAAATCTGCCATCCGGTTTAAGAGGAGTTGCGTTCACAAAATTTCTACAGATTATATAGTGAAACAATCAACAAAGGGCCATAATTCTGTTAAATTTGGTTGCAGCAAACATTCCTTCCTTTACTGCCATCTACACATTAAGGTTGTTAATCCCTGGAAGTTTAGGCAAAATCTGCCATCCGGTTTTAAAGAGGAGTTGCATTCACAAAATTTCTACAGAGTATATAGTGAAAAAATCAACAAAGGGCCATAATTCTGTTAAATTTGGTCGCAGCAAAAATTCCTTCCTTTACTACCATCTACACATTAAGGTTGTTCATCCCTGGAAGTGTAAGCAAAATCTGCCATCCCGTTTGAGAGGAGTTGCGTTCACAAAATTTCTACATAGTATATAGTGAAAAAATCAACAAGGGTCATAATTCTGTTAAATTAAGTTGCAGCAAAAATTCCTTCCTTCACTACCATCTACACATTAAGGTTGTTCATCCTTGGAAGTTTAAGCAAAATCTGCCATCCGGTTTAAGAGGAGTTGCGTTCACAAGATTTCGGGACGTACGGACAGACTTACGGACGGACGGACACTCGGACGGACAAGTGCAACGCTATATGCTCCCACTCTGTGGGAGCATAAAAAGTGGGAAAAAAACTTTCGTCTGACATTACAAGTTACATTGACTGTGTGACTCCCAGCACAGGACTATCCAAGGTATATTCCTTTCAGATAGGCTATCAAATAAAGGCTTTATAAGCCAATGTATAAAAATTTGCTTTTGGCACATGTCACTTTAATCAATCCAAAAACTATGCAAGATATCTTTTGGTAACATGGCAACCAGAGTTCTGCTTGGAATTTAATTGATTTAACAATTTTTAAAGTTGACTCGTAACCAAAGGAACATTCCTGTGTGAAGTTAGATGTAATTGGCTTAGCGGTTTATGAAGAGATGTTGTTTAAAATAAAAGTTTTTGCCAGAAAAAAGCAAACACAAAAGCTTACCATGTCACTTTTTGACAGGTGAGCTAAAAATAAAGGCTTTATGAGCAATAATATTCAAATTTGGTTTTTTACACCAATGACCTTGACCCTAGAGACCCCTTACTCCCCACAAAATTAGAGGATCACTTAGGGTATTTACCTACCAAATAGGAAACATTTCATTGAATAAGTGAAATGATTAGGAAATATTTAAGATAAATCCAACTTGCCGGAATAGGTTAACCATACAAGGCCCTATTTTCAAAGTGATAAAAAGGGAAATAACTGGGAAGAATGGATGGCACAGTTATCTTACTTAGCAATATCGTGTACTTTGTACTGATAAGTAAGTGTGATATAATGAACATTAGAACTTAAGATATATCCAAATTGCCATTTTAAGTTAACCAATTATTTATTTTTTAAGTGCTGAAAAGGGCAATAACTTGGTAAAAATGAAAGCTATAATCCAACTTGCCATTTTAAGCTAACCTGGTACGAACGGACGGACATTCTAACAGGAGAGCAGTAATGAGGCTACTCTATTGTTCTTTTTAGCCACACAAATGAAAATAGCCACATAAAAACATTACGGAATGAATGACATCAAAGAGAAAGAACAGTTACCTATTGTCCCTCTAGCCACATAATTACTGTCCTGTGAGTGCGGACGCTCAGACAGACGGACGCCAGAGAGTATAACATAATATGCCCAAAATTCTTTCGGGCATATAAAAATCTTAAAGGGCCATAAATCTTACATAAATCATTGAACAGGAAAATGCCATATCATATCACCATTATAGCATTTATAGCAATGTACAGACGCTGTCACAGAGGCTGCGAAAAGTTTATCGCCAGAAATGTTAAAAACATTACAAACATTATATATAGAAGTACTATTTATAAGTAAATATAATTGCAACAAACCTGCTGATGCATTTTCATGACATGCTGTAATTTCAGCACAGAACCATGCACGGTCTCCAATTGTAGACAGACCAAGAGATAGTAAATCAGTGTCTACTAATCTCTTGCATGTGTCAATACTGTCGATCCTCTGGGTTTTGAAGTTTTCAACAAGGTGTCTTAGACCTATTCTACCTAACAATGATGTAATAGTATCATAAGACTGTGCCATGATGTGCAGTACATCAATGAAACCTGAAATAAAAACAAATACAGGATGGTTTTGTATAATGTGACATATACAGACTATTTACTTGTTTAATTCACACTGCCAAAGTCAGAAATACAAGAACTGTCGGAGGACAGTATTGGCTCGACTATTCCACAGGCAATCGGTGCGTGGCTTGGATAGTATACATGTACATGCATGACCAAGCCCACTTATTTTTTTATAATTTTTTTTTTTTCACTAATAAAATATTTTTTCATTCAAAATGTTTTTAAAATATCTTATTTTCAATAAATCAACAAAGGAAATTCGTTTTTAAAAATTTCGTCCATATATACTATAAATATAGTAAAGGTAGAAAGGTTCGCCAGCGGACCTACCACCAGGCCTTATGTTACCTCCCAGATCTTTGTTAATTGTCAACCAATTTTCACAAAATAAAGTGCAATCTACGCAGAAATGATTTTTCTTTCGAAAAATGTACAATATATGACCAGTTGGTACGACAAAAGATGGAATTTTAAAGCGAAAATGCACTTTTTGTCTAGGTCGGCCATCGCTTGACCGAGTCGAAAGTAGACGATTTTGAACAAAAATCGATCTTTTTCTTAATAACAAACTAATATCAGTGCATGCAAACAGTTGAAACAGAAAAGGCAGCTATAATACTATCGCTTACCGGTCCAAAGTTAATCCAAAACGTCTGAAGGTACGCACTTTCAGTAGTTATTTGCACTAACTTTTTAAATTTCCCGACATTGTACATGTATACAAATCCTGATCCGGATATTGAAAGTACGCATGCTCTGTTCCCGCTGGTACCCTGCTTCGCTCAATCTTTATTATGCGAAAAGGGGTACGCATCAGGTACATCCGGGTCAGCATTTGTATAGATGTAATGTCGGGAAATTTAAATAGTTAGTGCAAATAACTACTGAAAGTGCGTACCTACAGAGGTTATGGATTATTTTTGGACGGTAAGCGATAGTATTATAGCTGCCTTTTCTGTTTCAACTGTTTGCATGCACTGACATTAGTTTGTTATTAAGAAAAAGATCGATTTTTGTTTAAAATCGTCTACTTTCGACTCGGTCAAGCGATGGCCGACCTAGACAAAAAGTGCATTTTCGCTTTAAAATTCCATCTTTTGTCGTACCAACTGGTCATATATTGTACATTTTTCGAAAGAAAAATTATTTCTGCGTAGATTGCACTTTATTTTGTAAAAAATTGGTTGACAATTAACAAAGATCTGGGAGGTAACATAAGGCCTGGTGGTAGGTCCGCTGGCGAACCTTTCTACCTTTACTATATTTATAGTATATATGGACGAAATTTTTAAAAACGAATTTCCTTTGTTGATTTATTGAAAATAAGATATTTTAAAAACATTTTGAATGAAAAAATATTTTATTAGTGAAAAAAAAAAAAATTATAAAAAAAATAAGTGGGTGTGGTCATGCATGTACATGTATACTATCCAAGCCACGCACCGATTGCCTGTGGACTATTCGGAAGGCTGTGACAAGGGTGTTTTATTGAGTATAATAATGCCAATTACCTATGAATACATAAAATTGACAGAAAAGGTACAAAGGCTTGTTATTAAGCAAAACTTTACCATGAATTTCTTAAGTTGAAAAAGGGGAGAGTATCAGCCTAAATGCAAGATAGAATTATGGATCTTTGTCAGTGACCTACAATTATGACCCTAAATGCATGTGTGAAGTTTTAAATAAATATCTTATATAGTTATTGAGATATGTAAAACTTGCATGTAAACATTAACCAAGAGACTACGTAGAAAAGGGGATATGAATCAGCCTAAATGCAAGATAGAGTTATGGAACTTGGTCAGTGACATACAATTACACTGGAGCCGCGATATAGTGCTCATGTTGGGGTCCATGATCTCAAGACAGCGTTGTAACTAGTAACTTTTTATAACGCTCATTGTGTAATTATAGCGAAAATATCGCATTACCCCACCCACCGCCAAAACATATAACACTTGTTAGTGGAAATGATTGTTTACTTACCTTCCAATGGATATCAGTCCAAGCTTTTTTATATATTATTATTAATTATTTTGTAAAGCATTACTGAATATCTTTAATACAAACATGAAATTTTACGAATTAAAAATATAAACCACGAATGTACAATTGTTTATAAATTTCCAGTAAAACAGCGGTGTTACCGTGTGTTATCACAGGCAATCGGTGCGTGGCTTGGATAGTATACATGTACATGCATGACCACGCCCACTTATTTTTTATAATTTTTTTTTTTTTGTTTCACTAATAAAATATTTTTCACTCAAAATGTTTTTAAAATATCTTATTTTCAATAAATCAACAAAGGAAATTCGTTTTTAAAAATTTCGTCCATATATACTATAAATATAGAAAGGTAGAAAGGTTCGCCAGCGGACCTACCACCAGGCCTTATGTTACCTCCCAGATCTTTGTTAATTGTCAACCAATTTTCACAAAATAAAGTGCAATCTACGCAGAAATGATTTTTCTTTCGAAAAATGTACAATATATGACCAGTTGGTACGACAAAAGATGGAATTTTAAAGCGAAAATGCACTTTTTGTCTAGGTCGGCCATCGCTTGACCGAGTCGAAAGTAGACGATTTTGAACAAAAATCGATCTTTTTCTTAATAACAAACTAATATCAGTGCATGCAAACAGTTGAAACAGAAAAGGCAGCTATAATACTATCGCTTACCGGTCCAAAGTTAATCCAAAACGTCTGAAGGTACGCACTTTCAGTAGTTATTTGCACTAACTTTTTAAATTTCCCGACATTGTACATGTATACAAATCCTGATCCGGATATTGAAAGTACGCATGCTCTGTTCCCGCTGGTACCCTGCTTCGCTCAATCTTTATTATGCGAAAAGGGGTACGCATCAGGTACATCCGGGTCAGCATTTGTATACATGTAATGTCGGGAAATTTAAATAGTTAGTGCAAATAACTACTGAAAGTGCGTACCTACAGAGGTTATGGATTATTTTTGGACTGGTAAGCGATAGTATTATAGCTGCCTTTTCTGTTTCAACTGTTTGCATGCACTGACATTAGTTTGTTATTAAGAAAAAGATCGATTTTTGTTTAAAATCGTCTACTTTCGACTCGGTCAAGCGATGGCCGACCTAGACAAAAAGTGCATTTTCGCTTTAAAATTCCATCTTTTGTTGTACCAACTGGTCATATATTGTACATTTTTCGAAAGAAAAATTATTTCTGCGTAGATTGCACTTTATTTTGTGAAAATTGGTTGACAATTAACAAAGATCTGGAGGTAACATAAGGCCTGGTGGTAGGTCCGCTGGCGAACCTTTCTACCTTTACTATATTTATATAGTATATATGGACGAAATTTTTAAAAACGAATTTCCTTTGTTGATTTATTGAAAATAAGATATTTTAAAAACATTTTGAATGAAAAAATATTTTATTAGTGAAAAAAAAAAAAATTATAAAAAAAATAAGTGGGCGTGGTCATGCATGTACATGTATACTATCCAAGCCACGCACCGATTGCCTGTGGACTATTCGGAAGGCTGTGACAAGGGTGTTTTATTGAGTATAATAATGCCAATTACCTATGAATACATAAAATTGACAGAAAAGGTACAAAGGCTTGTTATTAAGCAAAACTTTACCATGAATTTCTTAAGTTGAAAAAGGGGAGAGTATCAGCCTAAATGCAAGATAGAATTATGGATCTTTGTCAGTGACCTACAATTATGACCCTAAATGCATGTGTGAAGTTTTAAATAAATATCTTATATAGTTATTGAGATATGTAAACTTGCATGTAAACATTAACCAAGAGACTACGTAGAAAAGGGGATATGAATCAGCCTAAATGCAAGATAGAGTTATGGAACTTGGTCAGTGACATACAATTACACTGGAGCCGCGATATAGTGCTCATGTTGGGGTCCATGATCTCAAGACAGCGTTGTAACTAGTAACTTTTTATAACGCTCATTGTGTAATTATAGCGAAAATATCGCATTACCCCACCCACCGCCAAAACATATAACACTTGTTAGTGGAAATGATTGTTTACTTACCTTCCAATGGATATCAGTCCAAGCTTTTTTATATATTATTATTAATTATTTTGTAAAGCATTACTGAATATCTTTAATACAAACATGAAATTTACGAATTAAAAATATAAACCACGAATGTACAATTGTTTATAAATTTCCAGTAAAACAGCGGTGTTACCGTGTGTTATCACAGGCAATCGGTGCGTGGCTTGGATAGTATACATGTACATGCATGACCACGCCCACTTATTTTTTTATAATTTTTTTTTTTTCACTAATAAAATATTTTTTCATTCAAAATGTTTTTAAAATATCTTATTTTCAATAAATCAACAAAGGAAATTCGTTTTTAAAAATTTCGTCCATATATACTATAAATATAGTAAAGGTAGAAAGGTTCGCCAGCGGACCTACCACCAGGCCTTATGTTACCTCCCAGATCTTTGTTAATTGTCAACCAATTTTCACAAAATAAAGTGCAATCTACGCAGAAATGATTTTTCTTTCGAAAAATGTACAATATATGACCAGTTGGTACGACAAAAGATGGAATTTTAAAGCGAAAATGCACTTTTTGTCTAGGTCGGCCATCGCTTGACCGAGTCGAAAGTAGACGATTTTGAACAAAAATCATCGATCTTTTTCTTAATAACAAACTAATATCAGTGCATGCAAACAGTTGAAACAGAAAAGGCAGCTATAATACTATCGCTTACCGGTCCAAAGTTAATCCAAAACGTCTGAAGGTACGCACTTTCAGTAGTTATTTGCACTAACTTTTTAAATTTCCCGACATTGTACATGTATACAAATCCTGATCCGGATATTGAAAGTACGCATGCTCTGTTCCCGCTGGTACCCTGCTTCGCTCAATCTTTATTATGCGAAAAGGGGTACGCATCAGGTACATCCGGGTCAGCATTTGTATACATGTAATGTCGGGAAAT